AAAGCAAATGAATCTATCATATATGCATTGATAAGTCTTTTAAATACAGAACATAAGTTTATAAAAGCAAAATTCCCATATTTTAATGTAATTTATCCTTTAAGATTCTGCTCTAGATTTTCATTCTCTACTGGCACCTAATGAATAAGTCTGAATCGGGAGGATTATTAGGATAATTTTGGAACATTTAGGAATTTTTCTCATTTGCTTTAAAATAATTTAAACATTAAAAATATTTCTTGTCAAAAATATTAGAGGAGCCAAGGTTTCTAGGGAATTTTCTGAAAGAACTGCCTTCCCACCTTTCAAAAACATCTCATCTTTGCCTCGTTGTTTTCTAGTTGCTCATAAGCTAAAATCCCAGGGCAACATAGTTTATTGTTTTAATATCTGTCTGACGCAAAGAAAAAGTATTCTCTGGTGAGTGCTTATCTGTCATATGTATTTCTGTGAAAGGAATATCAAGGCAAATAAGATGTTCTAGGGCATATCATGGGATTATGAATTTAGCACTGACTGAATTCTGTTTAAAAATAATTGAAAAGATAAATACAAAAAAAAATATCTGCACTGATATTTTGAGGATGGAAATCTGAAGAGCATTCAATTTAAAATATTTTAATTATAAAAACGCTAGACAATATTTTAGTATGGCTAGAGAATAAATACCCAAATCCATAAATGGAACAAGCAAAATAAGAGGAAAAATATTTTTAACTGAAACAGTTAAAACAGAATTCTAATGATACAAAGGACGTTGAACTTACTTTGTATTAATTAAACTCAATGTAATGGCATTCATACAGAAGTGAATAACCAGTGATCTGGAAATTCATTTAGACCATTAGGTTAATTACAGAAACTGATGGAACTTTCATCAGACAATTACAATTAAAGAAAGAGAACAATGTGGGACAGATTTATAAGCATTTGTACCCCCTCCTTCCCCCAGTCCTGTATTGCTGTATTCCACTACAAATTCTCATAAAATTGTAATAAATACATGAACTAAAAAATAGGTCAGCAACTTCATTTGCCCTTGAGTGTGATAAAATAGAATAAATGAATATCTGTGTTTTCATTTCTTTTCTTTTTTTTATTTTTTTTTTTAATTCTGTCATTATAATACGAAAAAAATATTTTTAATTAAATTAAAAAAAAAAAAAGAAAATTTATGGAAAAAGAGCATGTGTATTTTGGTGCCTATAAGCATGAAAAAACTGTAATGTTTAGAAAATGTAACCCAAGACTGACTTCAGTTTAAACTGTATTCTTATTGAATTTGAGGCAGAAATCTCTTTTATGGGCATGCAAAACATTTAGGAAATACAGGCACTCATCTGTGAATCATAAAGGCATACAGCAATTTATTATTTTACCATATATCAGCTGTTCAGTGCAGTGAATGGTCCTGGAATACATACTCAGAAAAATATACTAGTAGAATTGTAGAATCATAGAATCCATATTGTATTCTATATGATTCCATGATTCTATGAATGGCCCTATAATACATGCTCAGAAAAAAATACTAGTAGTTACTGTAGTAACTACTGACTCAGGTGTCTTTATTTTCACTTGGACCTAAAATAAAGCCTAAAGGTTACAAAGATCAGCATTTTGATTTAGAGAGTGAAAAAAAATAGCTTTCATTGAACTTTTATTAGCATTTGTAATTCTCTCTGTCATTGCTTTCCATGGAATCTGAGTATGCACAACTGTAAACTTTTGAAAAATCTGATGCACAGTTGTTGGCTGGCTTCTTTTACCAACTAGTGCTTAGCGAGCTGGAGGACGTTGATCAGCTACAAAGTTTTCTACTAGCAGATGCATCTCCTTCTCATTAAAGGGTATTATTCAGCAAACAGAGACAGACTCTTCAGATGGGCACCCAGATGGAAGACAAGAGACAACCACCATAACTTGAAAGAAGAGAAAATTCTACTGGATACTAGTCAAAAGTTTTTCACTGCTAGGACACTCAAGCATTGAAACAGATGACCCAGAAAGGTTGTCACTAGAGGTGACCTGAGCAACCTGGTCCCTCCAACCTGAATAATTCTATAATACTGCGAATTCATGTCTTCCTTGTTTCCCATTTTAGTTTTGAGCACTAATTAACTAATGAGGAAAAAATACACTTAAGAGTTTCTAAAAGTCCTTGCATAAAATCAGATTAATATTTACGCCTTTTCTCTTTTTTTTTTTTTTTTTAAATCACACTTAACCAGCTATACTATTGTCTTTTACTGAGCAGCAATACAGTCAAGAAGTTAAATGAGAAATAAATCTAGACAAATATAGAAAACAAATATTTTACCACTATGTTTCCATCATTCATTCTGTATAGAATATAACTCAGGAACAAAACACATACAAACAAGTTAAAGATAATAACATTGCTAAAAATGAGGACTATCCTCTTCCAAATATTTGAAAATTCCACAATGCCATTAGCATTTAATGAAATCCAAACTTTTCAGCTTTGAAAATCTCAGCTCTTTTCCTTCCATTCAAATGATTATGAATTTAAAACCTGTTCATACTTCCATTGTAAGTTGTTCTGAAATATTATACAGTTACAATCCTACCAATAACAGAATAAACAATTAAAAAATTATTCAAAGATGAAGGCTACGATTCTGTTGTCTACCTGGAATAGTAATAGTAAAAATATTAATCTCTTAGACGTTAATATTGATTTATCAGTTTATTCATTTCAATATTAAAAATGTTCATCAAAAATAACATTGTCAAAAAGAACATCGTTAAAATACTAGAAGAAGGAAAATGAGACAAAGTTCAAGGTTAATTCCCATTCAATTCCTATAGAAAATGAGCTATTTTACATCTTTACTGAAAAATTCTTAATAAGGAGAAATTAATAAAATAATTACAATCATTAGTAATTGTAATTATTTCATTTAGTAAGAGTTGTGAACCTGTGGGGACAACTACATTTCGGCAATATGAAATGCTATACATAAAAACAGAAATCATGACTTGCTGACACACAAATTCAACAAAGTGCAGTAACTTCTACTGCAAGGACTACTGGCAATCTCTATTATGAAACCGTATATTACACATTGCCCAGTGGGATGCTGATAGGCAAAGTCTGTTTACTTATATGTTTGGCATAATTGAAAATAAACAGGTATTTGTTAGGATCTCATTATTCAAGGAGCATGACTGCAAATAGATTTTCCAAAGGGATTGACCCATGAGAAATAATGTAAACAGTGAAGTATAGAGCTTAGCTAGCTATTACAATGGCTATGTAGAGATTTAATAAAATTGGATATATTGTAAGATGTAAACAGCCCCAGAAATAAATTTGCTAGGCTATAACACAGGGAGATAATGGCAACAAGATGAACTTAAGAAAGGCTTTATTTGGAGTACATTACAGAAAATAAAAAACAAACACTGCCCCTCTCCTCCCAAAGAAGTTCCTTAACAGTGAAATGAATGAAATGTTTGTATAGTTTTCTAAAAATAGAATCTCAGATGCCTGAGGTATTTCAGTCAAAAAGGTGCACTAAAAGGTGCACTAAAAATGTTCTGTAAGGAGGAATCCCCTATTGATCTATACAGTATTTCATAGTAACAAAGTAAGTAGTGTAGGGATCTCTGTAACTACAATGGCAAAAAAAAAAAATGTTTGGGAAAGGTGATAGTACAAACTATTCCTGTAGTATTTGGAAGCAAATTAAGATTTAATTGATAACTTCAGTTCCAATTTAAAACACTTAATGTACTTTCTTTTTTACTATGTATTTGTAGACTCCTGATTTGAAAGTAGATCCCATATCTATAGTGTAAAAGCAGCAGTTCTATGGATGACGTTGTTCATAGCCTTTGACATAAGAGTTATATCACTGTAGAGATGATCACATTTAAACTCCTTTTCCTCATTTCTGGTTTTAATTAGTAAAAGAAATTAATTATTTTAGAAGTCTTTAGTAGCTTGAAAGAGAAGAATTTGCATTCTACAGTGAATACAATCTTCCTAAAGAGCACATACCATAATGTTGTTAAATCAGACAATTTAAAATATTTTATTTACATAGAACTGCTAAGAACTCATAGCAAATACTGCTGTTCATTTTAATTCATCAAGAAAAAAATATCTATGCTGCAACAAGGAGAAGACATTCTTGTTGATTTGTAATCAGCAATTTTTGTTTCAATGGATCATTTCAACAGTCACTACATGAAAAAAAAAAACCACAGTGATTTTCTCATCTTTGGCTACTTGCAGTGTTGTACCTATTAATAAACATAATTATTACTATTTCATTTGCCTCTTCATCTGACTACATTTCTGAATGGGCATCAGTGGCACCATCAGTACAATATGAAACATTTTCAGTAATCAGTTCCACTTCTGCTTCAGAATTTTAGAGGAGACCAAGGTTTTGTGCAGGAAAGCAGATGATGGCCACAATCATTAGTAATTGTAATAATTACAATAATTTCATTACATTTCAATAGTTTCAGATTCTCTTTGCTGTTTTTATTAGTGCACCTTCTTATATTTCAAAATATTCATTTTGCACAAATTTTTCTTTTTTGAAAATAAAGAAATAAAACACAACCTATTCACATCTATTTACTTCCTTGACCCAAACAAGTGGTAGCATGTTATGAGACTTCTTGTTTATTAAACCAAAGTTGTGACCAAGAAGGAAAAAGAAATACAACTTCATCTTCCACAGAAAACACAGAGTATACAACAGTACTGGAAAAATAAATCAAAACAGTTTTACTGTAGACCTTTTGACCAGTGCAGTGTAGAACAGGCCTTTTATTTTTTTAAATAAAATACAGTTTGCGAATAAAGATGCAAGTAAAATGAATTATCTGTTAACATTACTTACCACATTTACCTTAACAAAAGCTATTGAGAAAATTGACAATTTTATGGGGCTTTATTCACATTAATGTGCTTTATTTTTTCACAAAACAGAAAAAAAATAGCCATAACACTAGCTTACTTGTGGATGTGTATACTAGTGAACTGGGGGCACTGTACACGGGAGATCCCTCCTGGTTTGCCTGGCACAGCAGCACCCTGCCTACAAGAAAGAGAGAGAGAGTGGTATCTGGTTTTGGAACACTTCAACTAAACCTCAGTTTTTATCTTAAAACAGAAATAAAGCCATAACTGAAGCAGTGCAGTGAAGGGGCCCTTTATGTCCTTTGACTTCAAAACAAAAAGAGCCCCCAGTAAACACATATAATTGTACATTGAAAAAAGCAAAACACAGACATCCCCCCAAATCCAAATACTCTTTTTATCACATGGGCAAGCTGGTGCAAACTCTGAGCATCTACAGCATGCACCAGTCCCTCACCCTGCTGCAGGTGCTCTCTCCCTCTCTGCCCTGCATCTCTGGAGCAGAAGCTGCCTAATTAGCTAATTAGCTTGTGCAAAGCTCCTACTCCCATCACACAGCGACTAAATTCTCATCTCTCTAACTTCAGCTGAAATGAGAGACTACTTAAGCTAACACAGCAGATAAATCCGAACACAAAGCTTACATATACAGATATTAGGTCAAGTACGATCTGAGTTACATTGCTTAAATTAACACTGATGTGAGAGAAATCACACCATTATTAGTACATGTGGAGATTTGAGTATTTTTTGCTTGAATGAGAAATACATAAGCATATATTATGTTCCAGTATATGAGGATTAAAAACCAAACAAAATAAATTAAACCATCATTCCCCCCCCCCCCCAAATAAAAGTAAAAATAATTTTAAACAGTGCTTAACATTTTTCATTTTTAAGAAATCACTGAAGTTTAGGATTGTTTCCTGGTTTTTTAATAAATGTAAATCCAATGCCTTACTGCTTCATCCTCTTTCTCTGTAGTTATATTTTAACATTCTTAGAGTAATACAGATTTTACATTGAACAGAAGGAGAAACAGCTATACTTTTACACTAGGGAAAAACCTTCTCCACTTTAGGAATGCAGTCCACCAGGAAGAGCAGGCTGTGACACGTATGTTTTTGCAAATATACGTGTATATACAATTGTATACACACATACAACATATATATACACTGACATACTTCAAGTTGTCAGAATTTATGAATCACAGATTTTGAAATATATTTACCTGAAAATTTGTGAGACATTAACAGAAGACATGTATTGCCTTATAAGCAAAGTAACTCAACAGAACCGAATCAAACAAAAATTTGGAAGGATGTTATGTTAATTATGTTAATGGAAGGATTGTAATGTTAATTACAAATGGTAGGTATGATTTCCATACAAAATTTGCCTATCTAACGAGAGCAATCCTCAATTTACATGTAGTTAACACACCTGAGTTATTTCAAAAAAAAAAAAAAGTTTTGTTTTGTTTTGTTTTAAGAAAATCTCTATCATTAACCATTTCTTTAATTATCAGCTGTCAGTTGAGGTGGAAATATAGCAAATACTGAAAGAAAATAACTATTGTAATTTATTAAATTACAATTTTGCTAAGTCTGTGAGAGCTGGAAATCTCATGAAATATTGTGCTTCCAAACTCCTCAGTCCATAGCATATCCTTCATTAATGGGCTTTGGCAATGCTTGATTTTATTTTCAGCCATCCGCTATTAATCAAAAAGGTAAAACAAGTTTTTAGTTTGTTTCTTGTTGGGTGGGAGTTGTTTTTCTTTTGATTGGTTGTTTTTTAACTTAAGACAGATCTGTCTATATTTCTGGAAGCTCTTAAATAAAGGAAATTCAGATACCAATGGCAAGCATCATTTTCAGGATAGTAGATAAACAATAGGATCCATCAACAAACTTGACAGTAGGAATATGTACATTGGAATGTGGATGTCTTTAAAACCATATAGATGCTTCAAAATTTGTGCTACTACAGAAGCCTGAAAATGTAAGATGATGGTATAAATGAGTTCATCCAGCTGAGTGAAATAAGAAAAGGAATTATTACAAACAGTACTTTTCATCATGTTTTATGAATAAATTATGTATAATTTCATGTATACTTGGTAAATACATAAAACTAAAGGTTTTCAAAAATTGAAAATTATAGTTAATCAACATAAATACTAGATATTTTTCAATGGTATGCAGCTAGAGATTTTACTAATTTTTGCAGTTAAAATCCTTATTACAGTTTTTCTGATTTCATCTCACACAAGTTTTGTTACTCTAGTCTTCTTATTTCTAATGAAAGTACTTCAAAAGGGATGCTCTTTGAATCCATATGATTACAGTGTATTCATTTTGTTGCATAGAGCTTTCTAATGGCATTTTGACATTCTGCCTTTGAATTTGTACACAAAATTAACATCTAACTCACTATTATTAGATATTTGGGGAAAATATGGAACTTTCTAATTTTTGTAAGAAAAGGTTTCTTCTGAAACTCATTTTGTTATTAAAAATATTTAAATTGTAATTAGTAGAACTGGGTAAAGATTGGACTATTTTCAGTGAACTCTTCTGTAGAATGATCAGAATATTAAAACTATCTTTAAATTCCCTAATGGAATAAAAATATATATATTATTTTCCACCTGGAATGTTAAACTGTACCATGATAGAATAAAGATTTTTTTAAGACGTTTTAAATATAAAGTGATTAATATTTCTCTTCAAACTGTAATTTAATTATATCATGAATCTGAGGAGCTTCAAAAAATTACAGTCATGCAAGAGTTCATACTTAATTCTACCATCCCTTCTGTACCAGCATGCTTAAGGCTGATATTTTCTCATTAAGAACCATCTGCAATCTGCATGCTTTTTTTTTTTTTTTTTTTTTTTCCCCTCTAATATGAGCATTTACATATTTGGTCACAGAAGATATGTGACCAAATATAGGATTTTGGAGATTATCAACTGAAAGCCTCTCCCAACTCCTTCTGTCAAAAGGATCAGAAAAAATTAGCATACATATTTGAAGAGTGGATTCACTACAGGCACACCAGGTGCCTCCTAGGAGAGCTTCAGACAGACCAGTGGCAGAAGGAAGCTGAGGCAGCCGTGCTGCTAGGTGTAACGGGAGCAGCACAGTCTGCTGGGGCTGAGCAAGGCCGTGGGTTATCCTGCATGCAGCAGGCAGCTGTGCTGCAGCAGGGCATATTGTCAGTAGACAATAAGCCTGCAAAGAACCCACTGGTTCGCCACTCATCCATGGCTTAAGGGCTGGCAGGATGCACAAAACCGTATTTTTCAAGCTCAAAAAATATTCCCACTCATACTTCTTTTCCTGCAATGTTTTCTCCTACAGCCTAAGATCAGAAATATAATGTTTGATTATTTTTTGTTGTTGTTGTTGCTGAAGCACTATTATTTTTAAGTAAATAATTACTCAAAAGTGTCTAAGAGAGTAAGGAAAATTATGTGAAAATTAATATTGCTAAGATGTTAAAATTCAGCCCCCAATCATCCAATATATTTGACTAAAAGTATTTTTCTATTTTTTTCTACTTTCAAAAATATGCCTTCTTGTGCATAGTTTGCATTTACATGGCTTACATAAATTAATTTGTAAAGCATAACCATAAATGCCAATGTATTAGTGATGACCCACAAGTTACTCACTGGTTCATACAAAAAATATGAAAAAGTTCATTGTATTTCTTAAATACTTAGAGGTGGCTACATTAACAATGGAAGGACTTTCTAGTAAATTATAAATGATTTTCTATCCTGTCAAAAATAACTAACTGGAACCATTGGGTAGCCAGAACTACAGACAGCTTTAAAATAAAGATCTGGAATAAGCTTAAAAGAATTTGCACAACTAGTTGAGTCTCTTTGGCATCCTTTGAGGAAGTATAAATTGAAACAAGATTTTCAGAAGAAAAAATTCAAACCATTATTTAAAATTATGCTGCTGAAGCAAAATTAATAGTGGTAGAGCCTTGGGACTAGCTGTCTTTTGTCACAGAAAGTAGATAGAACTTTCAGAAACCTTCACTAACAGAACTGTACAAAGTTGATATACCATTATATACCATTATTAAGAACCCCAGTTTACAATGAAGCACCTGCCAGCATAGTTGTCTTCAGAACCTTTGCTCCCATGCAAAAAGTTTCCTGTTTACAGTACTTTTATTTATTGTCCAAGATCTTTGGGGATTTACAAAAGTGAAGAGAATGGAGGTTGCACTTCATTACACTCCAGGGCAATAAATTATAACAACCTTAGTGTAAGCACATAAGCATTTTTGGTGACAGAATAAAGCCAATATCCAGGACTGGTCCCCATTGGGTATTAGTGCACAGGTGGATATAGAAACAAAGGAGGTTACTATATACAAGGAGATTTTGTGGAGATTAAATCACTCTAATCCATTCTGCACTCAGCTTGCCAGGTAAAGAAGCTCTTCTTTATTATATTTATTCTACTATGTTACCAATAGGAGGTTGTTACTGCTTTTAGCAACCAAGTACCAGGTCATACATTCTACAGTATTACTTACAGGTAAAATGAAATGAAATAATAAAATAAAATAATAAAATAAAATAAAATAAAATAAAATAAAATAAAATAAAATAAAATAAAATAAAATAAAATAAAATAAAATAAAATAAAATAAAATAAAATAAAAGCAGGAAAGTAAATAAAAGCTAAGAAGAATATTTGCATCAGCAATTGTTATTTTATTTTCCCCTTTCTTCCAATACAGCTGTATGGTATATAGACCAATTTTCTTTCTGTTAGTTCTCTTTAATTTTTATCACCGTTCTTTGTACCTGTTACAACAAGAATTATACTCTTGTTGGTTTGTATATATAAATGGTTCAGAATTTGTATATGACCTATTAGCAGCAATTTTTACCAATCTCCTTTGTTTGCTGAGGGCATTGTTAAATGAATGAGTTGCTTGATTACTGGAGGAACATAGGTGTCAGGAATGTAAACATGCTTCACAGAATCATCTAGGTTGGAGGAGATCTCCAAGATCACCTAGTCCAACCTCTGACCTAACACTAACAAGTCCTCCATTAAACCGTATCACTAAGTGCTACATCTAAACATCTTTTAAAGACCTCCAGGGTTGGTGACTCCACCACTTCCCTGGGCAGC